CTCTAAGAATCTATCTTCCATTTTACTGGGATGTAATTGGACAATTTGCGCAACCAACGCCTCACTTGGCATGCCATATTTGAAATGACTCTCATTTAATCAGGCCCACTAGCCCTGTTAAGTAACATGGCTGACTTTATGGGCAGCACCAAAGCCTCAGAGCCTTTTCTGGAAAAGCATTCAGGTACCAGGCTTCCAGGTTCTCATGTGGTCACAAGGGTCACTTCCTGGCACATCACAAACCTTAGCTAATTTGAGGAATTCATTCTAATGCACCAGAAATGCAGGCTAAGTCTGCTTTGGTTTTCCAGCTTTGGAACAGCAAATCACAAAAGCCTTTAGAATTTCAATCCAGGATTCTTCATGAAAACTCCCAGACGCTACATTCCTTCTTGGCCTTAGGAACAGCTCAATAATTAATTGATTTTAATCTCCAAAGCAAACTCAAGGATGCCCATATGGTTAATTTAAATTCGGCTGCCTCTATGTAAATAATCAAGTCAAATCTAGTGAGGTTTGTCTAGTGATCAAGAATCCTTCGGAGATTAACTTCGACAGAGTGGAGAAGCTCAGGAAACAGGCAGTAGAAATTGCTGGGTGTTCTCTCAGTAACATGCTGGGAATTAGCCCAGAACCTCTGAATGATCATCTGACTCTATGGGAACCTGCATCTTTGGTTGTCCTACAATTCAGCAGAGGCAGAGCTTAAGTTACCACAAAGTGTTAATAATGCAAATGTTTCCTTCCATTGGTGTGCCAATAACTACTGTTCATAACACTATAAATGCACCCTATCTACCCCCCCCCAGAGGATATATATCTCTGTATGTCAAATTCTCATGGAGCTGGTTATAACATCTTACTTCTTCCCTCATTAACATGTCTCCAAGGAGACAAAGCAGGAATAGTCAGAACTGTAGAAGAAAAACAAGAAAATTGTGGTATTACCGTCTCCAAAAGGAGGGCCCACTTTCAAAAAAGATAAAGGGTTAACTGCTCCTGGTGCCTCTGAGAGACTAAAGCCACAATAATGCCCAGGGCTTTTGGAACGGGTTGTGGATAAAAGTCAAGGGAAACACAAAAGAGAGTCTGGAAAGGTACCCAGTTGGGGCTTCCAAGTGCCGGCTGTGGGTTCTAAGAAGTTAAACTGCATTTCTGATCATGAATTTGTGTCTTCACAATAACCAGAGCTGAATCTCTGTGGTTTATATAATCTTTGGAGAAGTGTTTACTGTGAGTAGATTGCAACTGCCATCACATGGGGAAGAACAGGCAGGAAAAGAAAAATCCAGGAGCCACAGTAATTGCTTTCAAAAATGGAAAGGGCGATTACACAGGAATTAAAATAGTAAGTTTGTGTTGTTCTAGTGTGCGGAACATAGATCAGTTGATTCAGATGAATATAAAAATGATTTTATAACAACCACAAATGCACATTAGTGAAATGAACTGCACACAAGTTACTGGGGTCTCTGTCCTGGGGGATATTCAAGGTGACTTTGGTTGATAAAGTTCAAGAGACATCATCACAGTGGCACCTTAAACATCTCTTGGACGTTTACACTACAATTGTTCCTGTATTTATATTCTGATCCTATAAAATGTCACTGAGATGTTAGGCATTAAGGAAATAATTTTGAGGATGCTTGGGTGGCTCAGTCAGTTGTGCATCTCTTGGTTTCGCCTCACGTCATGATTTCACGGTTCATAAGTTCCAGCCCCACGTTGGGCTCTGTACTGACAGCGCAGAACCTGCCTCGGATTCTCTCTCCCTCCCTCCCTCTCTTTCTCTCTCTCTGTACCTCCCAAGCTCTTTTACTCTCTCTCTCAAAATAAATAAACTTTAAAAATGCAAATGAACTGAAACCACGGAAAGAGGTCTCAAGCATGGAGTTTTGTCCTTAACCAGGAAAGGCCAAATCCATTGCCCCAGGGGAAGGGAGAGACTTATTACTGCCAAAGTGTTTTGAGGCATTTGGCTGCAGCACCATTCATTCTAGTAGATTTAAAAACAATTCTATTGGAATTTATTTTCCCATTCATAAAACTACATCATGCATCCCTTTTCCCATTTATTCTGTGCGGCCATCTAAGTCTGTTCTTCAGATTTTCCCTTTTGGCAGAGACATGGGTACCAACAATATTTCACTTTTCTCTTAACCATAAGAAAAACAACAGCCCAAGTCAATAATTAGAAATGTCATATGGTCAATGTCAGTCCAGGGACAGGGCTGTGGACATACCAGGCCCAGCCTTAGAAAAATCACCTCTGGGACACCTGGGCAGCTCAGTCGGTTAAGTGTCCGACTTCGACTCATGTCATCGTCTCACAGTTCGTGGGTTCAAGCCCCGTGTCGGGCTCTGTGTTGCCGGCTCAGAACCTGGAGCTGCTTCAGATTCTGTGTCTCCCTCTTTCCCTGCTCCTCCCCCACTCCTGTTCTGTCATTCTCTCTCAAAATTATATAAACATTTAAAAAAATTAAGGAAGGAAGGAAGGAAGGAAGGAAGGAAGGAAGGAAGGAAGGAAGGAAAGAAAGAAAGAAAAAAGAAAGAAAGAAAGAAAGAAAGAAAGAAAGAAAGAAAGAAAGAAAGAAAGGAGGCCTCTGTACATGGCATCACCATGGGAACATATGGACCAGAACTGGGAAATCTTACAATTTCTAAACAGATGCTGGAAATTCCAATTTTTATGTAAAATCACCTCCTCTTTTTTAACCAAAAGAACTAATTCAATGAAAACAATGACCATACTCTGTGGGCCACAAAGGTCTGTCAAAAATCAAAGTCTTGGGACACCTGGGTGGCTTAGTCGGTTAAGCGTCCGACTTTCGCTTAGGTCATGATCTCGCGGTTCGTGGGTTCGAGCCCCACGTCGGGCTCTGTGCTGACTGCCAGCTCAGAGCCTGGAGCCTGTTTCAGTCTGTGACTCCCTCTCTCTCTGACCCTCCCCTGCTCATGCTGTCTCTCTCTCTCTCTCCTAGAAATAAAGAAAAATATTTTAAAAAAAAATCAAAGTCTTGTCATTTAGACCTTGAATCTGATTGGACCGACGTTATAGACATTGTTAATATTATAAGAACAAACAAATAAATAGGATTGTTGTTAAGCCCTTGTCTGACTTGTTGATGGGTCTGTGGAATTCCTTAATCAGGCACTTGAGCAACAGAATAAATGCATGTTTCTGCATCCTTCTTAGTTGGGTTGAATATGGACGCTAGGGATGGCGTTCCATGAATTCCTACACCATTATGTTCCTATAATCTCAGGCACAAATATATCTCAGTTTCAAATGCACTGCATATCATTTGATTAAAATAAGACAGCCACTTCTCAAGGAAATTTCCAACAATCTCCCCAGAAAGCCTAGTCTTAACGTGCTGATACTTGTAAAAATTAGTTGTTTCACTGAAGCTTTGCCTTCATCTAGCCACATGCCCCCACCCAGATTTCTTCCTTAAGTGTGTCTCTTCAGCACCACCAGCCACTAATTGTCCTTGCAGTTTTTTGTTTCCTTATAATGCCATTGGTTTATAAATTACAAATGATGGAAAAACCATCCACTGAGTCACTAAATGCTATATTTTCAATGCATTGTTTTATAATAGATATATATAATTGGCTCCATTTATTCTTAACAATAAATCACTCGTAACTAAAGAACAGATAAAATGATGGTTAAAATAAATCTCTGCTGCAATGCTTTTAAGCCACCCTAAAACATGATATTTAAGAAGTACAAAGAGGAGCATTACTGAAAAGAAAATGTGTTGATGTTCAAGAATGTTTTCTTTTAAATGCAGTATCACGAAATCCATACATGTATCCAAAGAGCACGCCAAATATGTTGTTTAACTCGATAATTCATGAGGAAACTAGTAAGATGCGACAATTGGTCAGAAGTGAAATTCTAACCGTGAAACACCCACATATAAGTGAAAAGGAGAATTTCCTGCCCCACAATATACATTTTTCGGCATATTGATTGTTTCAGGCTGATTATTCTTGAGACTACAGGCACAGGAAAGTCTCTGAAAATAGGGTAGAGGTACAGAATATTTGTTAAGTAATACTTCCAGTTATATGGGAAATCTCTATTAATAAGTGTCTCCTTCTCTGTACCAGGAAGAGAGGCTTGATTCAATCTCTAAACACTCTTATCAATGGAGATGGCAATGACTTAGGTCTTCAAACAACCTGACCCCTTATCTCAATTTCCTGTGCTTCTCCTGGTGACCTCCCATTAACACTGACCCCAACCTCCAAGATCTGTCTTTAACTGCAGAGTGTTTAAGGTGATGATCTGGGGCATCAGGGAATTACTCGGTGTTTTCCTGAGTGTCTTCCATATATACAGGAGGTAGACAGGTTATTAGGCTAGTTTGTGTGGTTTTTTTCCTGTGAATCATCCATTACAGGGGGCCCTAGCCAAAAACACAGAGGACAGAAGAGAAAAGTATTTTTCCTCTATTGGATAGGGAAATTAGAAATGCTGAAATCAATTTAAAAATAAATGCAAAACTGGCTTTTTTCGGGGGGGGGGGTGTGCACGTCCAGGAACCAGTGTCCCTTCTTGAGACAGAATTCATCTGGGGCCCCTGGGGGCTCAATCGGTTAAGCGTCTGACTTCAGCTCAGGTCATGATTTCTCATTTGGTGGGTTCAAGCCCCGCATCAGGCTCTGTGCTGACAGCTCAGAGCCTGGAGCTGCTTCGGATTCTGTGTCTCCCTCTCTCTCTGTCCCGCCCCCACTGGTGCTGTCTATCTCTCAAAAATAAATATAGATTATTTTTAAAATTCATCTGCATTTCTATGGACAGAGGAGACTTTAACTGTTGTCATTTATCTGCAACTTATGAAGTTCCTTTCTACTTAGTTTCAAACACAACAAGAGATAACCTGGAAGATTATGCTGCCATAGATGGGAAGCTGTTTTGTTTTCCCATCCTTTCTTTCCCCCATTTCAAAATCTTTCACTGACAGTGGCAAAATCTTTCCTGACAGTGATGAATCTATGTGTGCCTATAGCTGATTACGGCATTCCATGGCCTGCCAGCCTCCTGGGTCCCTGTCCATCTCAGACAACTCCTCACGCCTGACCTAATGGTGTCAGTGTCATCTTCAACTGGATTAATGGTATATCCATGTTATATGACCTTATATATGTGTTCTTTGTTAAGAGCAAATCATCATCATGAAGAATCAATGGAACACTCTCTCTCTCTCTCTCACACACACAAACACACAGGCTTTAGTTTTATTCCCAGAGCCTATACTCTTACACACTGCACATTATGGTAACAGTTCATTTACAAAGCATATGGACTAAGGACAGAGTCCATGGCAAAAAACAAAAAACAAACAACAAACAACAAACAAACAAAGACAAATAGCAAAGTTTCAGATAATTCTACATTCCTTTTTTGCCAAGACCTTCAGTGCTATCTGTAAGCTGAATCAAAAAGCTAAATCAATCTTGATTTCCTTCCTTCCTTCCTTCCCACCTTCTTTCCTTCTTTCCTTCCTCCCTTCCCACCTTCCTCCCTTCTTTCCCACTTTCCTTCTTTCCCTCCTTCTCTCTTTCTTCATTTCCTTTTTCTTTCTTTTGGAATCCTCTGAAACAAAAGAAATAAGAAGAGGGGAGGGATTTGGCAATAGGTCAGTTAATTTCATAAATGTGGACAAACCAGTGGGCTGAATTGTCAAGACTGACTGCTGTGATGGATGAATTTAAATCAAGGAAACAGCCAGTTCTCCCCTTCACGTGCTGATGGAGATCACTTCACAGGCTCAGGTGTAACTGTGTTGTGACTGAGTAGAAAGTAATCACAGGGCAAACAAGCGGGGGGAAATAGCCCACAGCTCCAAACACAAAACCAGGAACCAGCATCTAGTACTTCAGTTTTCATGCCCTTTTATATCATTAGGTTTATTTATTTACCCCTTTAGATTGAGCCTTTTCTTAAAAACAGAAAAAAAAATAATTTTGCTTTATGGGTAAAGAAGCAAAATAAGTTTGTTTTTTAAATCATGAAACTGAGGTAAGTAAATTGAATTTTTTATGAAGTAAAAAGCCAGAAACAAAGCTAACCCACAAAATTTGCCTCACAAGTTAGTGCCCTTCCTAACAGGGACATTCAAGGTCAACTTGAAGCTTTGGCAGTGAGGGGTAACTGGAAAGTATAAGCAGTCTCCAAAAGCACCGCCCTTGTGTAAAAAGCAAGCTAGCTGACTTGAAATGAAAGCAATCTGCCCTAAATACTAAAGGGCATGATTTTCAGAGTTCCTGTCCTAAAGGAGACACTGTGAGTGACCTAATGACGATCATCTGTAAAACACAAGATTTTAGGGTAGTTTCCTAAGACACCCTTCCAGAGAAAGTCCACCTTAGCAAATGTCTTCAGAGAGAAGGGGAGACAGGGTGGCAAAGGATGTCCAGAGGTGCAGGTCGCTGCTGACCTGACTGATCCAGGACTCGCTTTGGAATAGGTGGCACAGGATGGGCTTTATTTGCACCTCTTCTGTATTTTGTCTTTTTATGACTTTGCTCATTTTCAAAATTTTTTTTAACATTTATTCATTTTTGACAGAGACAGAGCGCAAGCAGGGGAGGGGCAGAGAGAGAGGGAGACACAGAACCTGAAGCAGCTCCAGGCTCTGAGCTGTCAGCACAGAGCCAGACGCAGTGCTCGAACTCATGAATGATGAGATCATTACCTAAGCCAAAGTCTGACGCTTAACCAACTGAGCCACCCAGGCGCCTCACGATTTTGTGCATTTTTTAAAGCAAGACCTAACTCCTTGGTGTTTTTTCTTGAGGTGCTGACAAAAATCCAATCCTATGAGACAAATTATGTATATTGTACACACCCCAATAGAGTTATTCATATTCTGTCATGCCCACTGGAGAGAGAACATAGTTTTCATTAAGAGTTTTGGCAATATCAATAAATAAGTCTCTTTAATGCACTCCCAACTCTTTCTCCCTCCTGTCATCAAATGCAAATAACTCGTCTTCACTTCTCCACCTGCTTTCATGCCCTGGTCTCCTGTCACCTGGTTTTTGCTGTCTGCACACCACAAACTCATCGGGAAGCAGCCTCCCATGACCAGCGTGATGGACGTTTTTCTTTCCTTACGCTTAAACTCTCTAAGCCTTCTGACTCTATCACCAACACCCTCACTGGGTCTCCTCATCACTTGGCTCCCCTTTTCTCTCCCTTCCTTTACTCATCCTGTGAAGAGCATCATTCCCTTTGACACCATCTTTAGCCCACACCTGTCTTACGCTCCCTGGTCAGCCGAGGGCATAGCATGAAACAGGTGGCAAACTTCCACAGCTTTAAATTAATGAGACACGTGGAAAAGATTCTATCTACAAAAGGGTAGCCAGGACTTAGAGAGATCAACAGGGCTAGCATCCGGAGGGGGATCTCAGCACCCTTAGTCCTGAAAGAGTCCAGGAATGAGAGGGTATAGAGACTCCCAAAGAGAGGTATGGTCTTTAAGAGAGAACTATAGTCCATCTTCAATGACTCACTGACCTAGTAGAGAAGGAGCTCAGGAAATAAATGTATTCACCTTCCTTCCGTCTCCTGATTTTTCTCAACATCTCCCATTGACAGACACTGCAAAGAGCCAGAGTTTGGGAGAGCCCACTGACATGATCCACTCGGCAGTATTATGGTCCCGATGTAGTGACACGGGCTGATCTGGAAAGCAGAGGGAAGATGGGAGGCTGTGATATACAGATCCTGGATGACCTCATTCATTTCTGTGTTTTCAACTATAATCTACTTGCAGATGATCCAACACCATCACACTATGAACTGCAGACCAGTGGTCCCCAAAGTTGAGTGCACCTTACAATAACTTGGGAGGTCTTTTTTTATTAATAAAAAAATAAATAAAATCATGTCCATATCATATGCACAATTTTTATTTAATTGATAGGAAGTGTGGCCTGCGGGGTTTTTTTTTCCTTCTAATTTTAAAGGTTTCCTAATGTGCAATGACTATGGAGAACCAGTTTTTGGTCTAGTATGTGCAACGAGTTTCAAGCTCACACATGTGACTGCCTACAAAAAATCCCCCCCTTGGTTTCCCATATGCATTTCAACCTGTGCATGCACTAACTACTCATGTTCTTTTCCCTCAAGTAGATCTCCACTGTTCATTTGTTTTTTTCTTAGTACACTACTATCCCGCCAGGTTCAAGATAGAAACATCCATCCACCAATGAATGACCCATGAGTTGTTCACAGTTCTCTGCACTCACCAGGGTCTTTCTTTACTCCATTAGCTATACTGCTCTTTCCTTTGATAAACTACTCTGCCCTTAAAATGTGGCCCTAAAATGTGATTGTCATCTCTAAATGGTCACAACCACTCCTTCACTACAATTCCTAAGGTGCCTTCAAATTTTTATTCAACATTTTTATATATGAACGATGCACTGAAAAGTGTCATTAAATATATCTCTTATTTCCCAAATGAGTTATAAATCACATTTTAGCACCTTAAAAATCACTGCTGGGGCACCTGCGTGGCACAGCTGGTTAAGTGTCTGACTCTGTTGCCTCATACTGAACTCCAAATAGGCATCCCATAGTTCCTTCATTTTTCTTGCCATGTAGAATTCTGTTTGATTGATTCATCATTCTACTACTGATGGACATTTGGACTATTTCCCACTTAGGGTATCCCACATCACACCGCCATAGATATTTTATACATGGCATGAAGTGCACACATTTAATCACTTCTGCTCTATAAATACCTTGGAGTCTTGGGTTGTAGGAAATCTTAAATTTTACTTCAAATATTTTTACCCAATTTCAGGGCTTTTTGACAAGTCTAGGCATATCCTTAGGTTTTACTATAGCCCTCAGGTATAACTATATATTTTATCCATTTAATCACTTACAGATACATTTAACTATTCAGTGTGTTTGTCAGAGAGAGAGAGAGAGACAAAGGGAGAGAGACAGAAACGAAAGAGTTCATTATGTAGAAAGCACAATGGATGTCCTAGGGCCAAATAATAAAACCGTAGGAACCTGTTCCCTACTTTAGGAAGCTTTACAATCCAGTAGTCTGATTCAGTGGTTAACCAAGAGGCAAAAAAATAAATAAAAAAGAAAAAACAGACTTAGCATTTCTAAATTTCCTGTCATTCACAGAGCCAATAATACTCCCTTAAACAAACTGAAATGACAAAAAAAAAAAAAGTTTAATCATATCAGACTTCTTACTTTTATATAAACTGAACCATTTATGCCATTTGCTCCCTGTAGTTACACCCAAGAGAATCTTCATGTCTGAGGTGCTCCTTGGGATAAATTCCCCTCAATACCAAGAAACCGAGTATTACAGATGGCCAAAGATTCAAGGATTTTCATCATCTTAAAGAGACAGTGTAACATACGCAGTAGAAGGACCAGTAAATGGTGGGTCCAAAGATTTATAAACACCTGATTTGGCCATGGCTCTGTCACAACCATGATGTGTGGCCTTTCATTACCCACTGGAGTTTTCTGGGGCTCCGTTCCACGTGGAAGAAGAGAAAGAACACTGGAATTGCTTCTATAGCTCTTCCACTTCACAACCCAGTTTAGAGCTTGCAGTTCTTGGATTGTCTGAATTACAGCAAAAATTCCGCTCAGAGAAACTATTTACAATAACCTTGACTAACATAGTCCTTTAACAGCATATCTGATTGAGTTCATTTTAGAATATACTGCATAATACTTTAAAAATGAAATAAAGTTCTGATAGTTTTCCTTAGTAGGTAAGAATTCCTATGTACCTGCTACTCATCTCGTTTAATATAGGTTACAAAGGTCTAATGAGCAATTAATTTCCAGGTTGTTTTTACTTACTATTTAATTATTTCATCATCTTTGAGAATGAATGTCTCCACCAAGGCTGCACATTTAACATGGACAACAAAGAACGAACTAAAACTTGAACATCAGCTATAATACACACACAAAGATAGTACATCCCCTTCCATACCTTCGGCTCATGGAAAAATGAGTTTTCCCTACATGTTTTTTTCTGGATGCCATCTTCATTCAATAAAAAGCACATTTCTGAACCATTAGTGTGAGTTGATCTTTATGCCAGTCAGTAATTCCCATCATCTGCAGAAAACATGTTTGTATCCCTTCAACACCCTTTAGAGATGAAAGGAAGGAATTTATGTGCTAAAAGGGTTTCATGTGCCCAAATCATGCAAATTCGCTCCGCCACTTCCTAAGATTTGCAGATGTGTCGATTGCTTCCGTTTTTTGTTTGTTTGTTTCTTTTTTTAAGAGTAGGTATACAATGGTATGAATCTCAAATCAGCTTTTGTCCTACCTCCAGGCCTGAATTCCTGTTCTTCAAATGATGAGAACAAATTTAGTACTGAGACATTGTGAACTTCTGAATGGAGGCTAATCTTCCATCTTCATCTTATCTGAGGCGACTGGGTAAAAATAAATCACAAATGCAAAAGTCTGTGTCAGTGTATGTCTGACACATGTTTACATAACATATGCATATATGACACACTAATGGGCATCAGACTTCTTAGAGCATTTAAATGACTTGGGGAAAAAAGAAACAAAAAACTCTGGGATTTGGCAAAGACTAGGAAAGAAATTATGTTTAATCAAATCTGGGCAACACTACAGGGTTCCAAAAAGTGCCTGGTACATAGAAGATGATTAAGTGTTTGCTTATTATCACAAAATCCTGGAAGCACTCTCTCCATAAGCATATGGAATCAAGAGGGACAGTTGTAAGTTATTACATTTCTTAAGCCTATTTTGCTGTATTTCGTTCTTACATAATATACATACAACTGTCTCACCCGTTTGAGAGCAAATCACCTTTCTAGGAGCGTTTGATTCTATGGAAGAAACGTTGTTTCAGAGGTATCATATCCACTCCTTGAAAAGAAGCTGTCACTCTTTCCCAGTGGGTCTGTGGTGGCCCTTCAAACCACAGTTTCCTTAACAACTACTGTGAAAAACAGTAAGACCACAGTGCTTGAGGAGACTCATGATAAACATTGTGCATCATGGCAATAAACGCAATGACTATCATGAGGATAGATATGGGTCAATTCTGACTTCCTAGGAGCCCTCCTGGCCAGAGCAAAAGAATAAAAGATCGCATCCCCTTTGTTTTTCTTTCCCAAGTAAAGAATTAACATACAATGGGATCCCTCTGAGCCCATTTCAGATTTGAGCAGATCCTGCCCTGTCTTCCTCTTACAGTCTTTATTAGTCTTTCTACCCTCAAATATGGGAGCCCCCACATTTTACTCTCTATATGCTAATTCATTCAGTTACCTATGACTAGGGTACCTGGGTGGCTCAATTAGTGGAGTGTCTGACTCTTGGTTTCTGCTCAGGTCATGATCTCCCTTTTCATGGGATTGAGTCCCGCGTTGGGTCCGCGCTATCAGCACTTGGGATTCTCTCTCAGACTTCCTCTGCCCCTCCACCACTAGCACGTATGCTCTCTCTCTCTCTCCCTCAAAAATAAGTAAACAGATTTTAAAAAGTGTACTGATGGCTTTACATTTATGTGCCGGTTATTTCTGTCCCATCTGTCTAACTGTCCAAATGGAAATCCCCTTGGATAACTAACTGATGGTCACCCAAACTCAATGTGTTCCGATGTAAACTCATCATCTTTCTCCAAAACCTGGCTTCCTTTTATTTATTTTTTTTAGTGTTTTTATTTATTTCTGAGAGAGAGAGACACACACACAGCATGAGCAGGGGAGGGTCAGAGAGAGAGAGAAACACAGAATCTGAAGCAGTCTCCAGGCTCTGAGCCAGCTGCCAGCATAGAGCCTGATGTGGGGCTCGAACCCACGAACCGTGAGATCATGACCTGAGTCAAAGTCGGACACTTAACTGATTGAGTCACCCAGGTGCTCCATCCAGCTTCTCTTTAAAATTAACAATCTATTTCTGTCTATGGTATGAGTCTTGGTTCTTATAAATTCATTGTGGCATCATCCAAATATCCACTTTTTCTCCCAATAATCTCATCCCAATCTGTTCATATATTTTTCTTTAAAAAAAAAAAAAAAGATTTGTGTTGAATCATTTCTCTCTGTTCCTACGGCTACACCTTCATAATGGATTACCATAGTTCTATAATTCTGCATTTACATTATTACACAATTCTCCTGCCAAAATCACTTTGCCTTCCAAAACCTACCAGTCTTCCCTCAACAGCCTGGCAACACCTCCTATATCCTAGATCCTGCTTCAAATCTAAATCTCTTACACGAATCAAAAATGCTGTCAGTAAGGTTGTTCTGATTCTGTGTGGTTAAAAAAGTGTCACCTTGGAAATAAACACAGTAGAGTCTTTATTGTACGTCTTTACGCATGCTATTTTTCAGAAACTTTATTTTTTGGCTGAGAGAGAATTTCATATGCTTCTGTATAAAATAAAAATGATTTATTACCATAAATTTAATTTGTATTTTAACAACCCAAACTTTGTATCTTTTAGCACTTTCACAGTTGCTTCCTGTGAAGAAGAAACCCAAAACCAGCCTCGTCATCTGTATCTGTTCATCATTTTTATTTCACGATCTTCATGACCCTTCCACTAAAAGAGACACGAAACCTGGAGCACCCCTATTCTTTCTTTCTTTTTAATTTTTTTTAATGTTTTATTTATTTCTGACAGAGAGAGAGAGAGAGAGAGAGCATGAGCAGGGGAGAGAAGGAGACACAGAATCAGAAGCAGGCTCCAGGCTCCGAGCTGTCAGCACAGAGCCCGATGCCACTCGAACTCACGAACAGTGTGATCATGACCTGAGCCGAGGTTGGATGCTTAGCCAACTGAGTCACCAA